TCTCCATATTCCGTCGTCAGGTCGATGATAAATGAACTAACTCTGACACCATGTAATATTCTGTTCTATGAACATGTAAGTGTTTACATAAACAGATGAAGCGGACCACTTATTTCAATCCGAGTGTCCATCTTTATTTCCACTAGCGCGTAACATGCACACATACATTACGTCATCCACGTGATCTCTGTAATCAAAGATCTTGTATTCACCAAGATGTGACGGGTAATCTGTGACATTTCGCTCTCTCAAAAGTTGGGCCATTTTGACTTCATGCGCTAATGAGCAGCACTCATAGGAAAGAACGAGACCCAGCCTCCCACGCTGTATCCAGTTCTTATTATACATCCATTCAAAAATATTAGTTGTGGCCAAACAGCGGTACTACACTTCCGTATCAGTCGCTGGGCCCGGAAACACTTTTTTCCACCGACTAACATTGGGAAAGAGACGTCGGTAAATCGTTGGATAATTTTTTTTAAACTACCCAGTTTGAACGTTTGTATAGCCCTTATTAAAAACATTAGGTCCTCAAGTTGTAAAATGTGCTAATAACGTTATTCTGAGAGTTATTTTCCTCTGCATTATGAACGCGGATCTAACCCATGGGACTGTGCCGCCCGGCACGTTCATGTGACTTGTTCAGTAGCCTACTACATGAGTTTTACCTTTACCCATGGATGCACAATAAGAACGGACCCATATCGCCTTACTGCCAGCCCACGGAGCTGTAATAATGGATATATTGCACATGTTTGCTGTAATTCATCATTTGTAAAATCTTATACTGCATGGGCTGTATGATGTAAATCTTGTACCGTAAATCTTGTATTAAATAAAGTTAATATTACCGACGTAGATTAACGTCCCTGTAGCTTCTTATTGCACTTGCAATATACCATTAAATTAGTTGAACGTAGCTGTTTGCTATTACTATATAATACTACACAGGGATAAGCCATGAGTGTACAATCCTTTGTGGGCACAACACGTTTTGACTCAGTTTGATTAATTCGCTATACCATATGATATCGCCCGGGGAAGTCGTCATACTTATACATACATAAAGATATATGTGTCAAAGCTCTAATCAAATTAACAGTTGTATTAATTGTATTAATTATAATTGTATATATATATATATAGCCTGTGTTGTATATTTATACACACAAATGAACAACCTTGTGTTTTTTCAAAAAACAAATAACAAGTTGTATTGTAGTGTTTATTTTAGTGTTGTTGTTTTTTGTTGTTGTTTTGTTTCTTTCTGTTAACCGTCAAGTGGGAAATAAGTATTTTTTGTGTTTCTCTTAGTATCCTAAGATACTGTTATGTTTGGCTGTGACATTTTTTTTTATTATGAAGGGCAGACCATCTATTTGTATTTATTTTGTTTTTTTTAGAAAGGGGCAGGTCATATAAGATTTGATTCTTCTCCCTGCTCCTTTTCGCTCAATGGTGTGTTTGTAGAGACATGTTTTGTTTGCAATTATTGTACATTTGGTTTTGCGTACCATGAGCGGGACAAATACAAATTAAATTAAATGAAGTGTTGTTTTATGCTTATCCACATTTTGATTTCAGAGCACAGGGCACAACATAAAGCTCAACAGTGAAGCTGGCAATGCTGAACAAAACCATCTAGTTATAATATGTATTCAGCTGAAAAAGTCATTTTCAATGGGCAATTGTAACAGAATACATTTCTAAAGTAACCCCTTCTAACCCTGAAAGTGGGTGCACGAGTGCTTTTTTATGGCCGTAAAGAATATTTTGTATAAAGTGTTTTTATGCGAAAGAAAATCACGTCCCAGGAGTCCCCGAGGCATGACAGAGCAGCAACAACAGTCAGTGTCTGCAGGAGCGTTGCACAACAGCTAGTTAGAAGACCGTGTCCACATGCGGCAAGAAACATCAATGCCTTCCAAGTCCGGCACACAGGTTATTTCAATTAGTCTCCAACAAGAACCCTTCTTTTTCCCCAGCTGGACCCCCACCTATCACTCCCAGAGATCAGCCACAGAGGACCCTGTCACCCTGTTTCCTTTTACACCCCCCAACGGCTTTGTTTTGGAAAAAGGAGAATTGAGTAAGGTTCAAAGTGGAGGAGAAGACCGCGGAGTAACATGAGATGGCGGTCGGTCCGACGGGGCATGAGGCTGTGCCAGATGATACATGCAGGGCCGGCCCTTGGCATAGGCAGTATAGGTGAATGCTAAGGGCGTATCAATCAATGGTGGGCGCCGAAAATAAAAATAATAAAGTTAGAAATAAAAAAATCATTTCATAACAACACAATACATCTTATTATCTTATACTAACAGAACTACGCCTATATTGCGTACAGCGTCCATAAACTATGGCGCACCCCCCCCCCACAAAAATCAAGTTGAACCGTCCCAGTAAAAACCAGAGGTTTATGTGAAATAGTTATTTTTTGGAAATAATGGTTTTAGTGTGCAATTATAGGTTTTAATTTTGTATTTGTGTTAATTTAAAATAAATCAAACTCCCAAAAAAGTATAGAGCTTTTATTAACATTGGAATTTACTGTGTAAGCGGCCGCGGGGGGAGAGCTTTAGAGAGCTCTCACCTGAAAGACTGAGAGGCTCTGATAACCTCAGCTCAGTGAGCTAAAGGCACACCTTTATATGATCATTATAGTTATAAAAAAAGAAGAGAATAGATTTTCATCTATTCTCTTATAGTATAAAACACTATATGACAGTAAAAAAAATTGTTATTAATAAACAAGAATACAGTTTAAAAGGGGAGTGATTTGTAAAATATCCATAAATAAAAAGAAATCTGCTTACAGTTCTGTTTCATATGGGTGTTGAGAGATGTATCCATAGATCTCCTAATGTTGCTCTCAAAGTGCACCAGATTGATGCTTTTAACTTCAATATTAAAAACAAAAATCTTCCCGGGGGAGCATGCCCCCGGACCCCCCAAGAGGAGGTTAGGTCCACCCCCCACTTAAATCATGTTCAAATGGATAGGATACTAAATACATTTGCACACATCTTGTGTCCATATCTTTCTGTTCTGGTCATGCCACAACCGTGCATGCATGCGCGAGTCATAGTGAGTGTCTGCATTTGGGGGGGGGGGGGGGCGCCAGCTAAAATCTTGCCTAGGGCAGCAAATTGGTCAGGGCCGGCCCTGGATACATGCCTCCTGGTTTGAAACGGGGATCATTCTTTATGTCTAGGGCAATTTTTACAGAACATTTTCTATCTGTTGTCTTATCTTAACTTAAGTTTGAAATAAAAGAAAAACCCATTGTCCTATTGCAGAGTAAATTCATAAACTCAAGGCAGTTTCCTATCCTGATTATTCCTGTTATCCATTTCTGTAATATTTCATACTTCAGTCGGAAACTCGTCCTGTCATGCCTGCACCTATGTTTTGGAATTTACTGGAGATAGACAAGTCTTAATATCAATGACTCATCTGGCACTCGCAAGGTTGCTATCATAGACCAGAAACGACAGGTGTCAATTTTAAATCATTTTGGCAGTTGATATGTACACATTAATACGTGGTTTGGGAAATAAGTCATACGGTCTGAGTAGCCTTTCAGTTATGATTTCCCATTGTTTGAGTTGTTCCCACTGTCATTGCCATACAAACTTAACAGCAGTCATTTTGTTTATTTAGGACAGGGTCTATCCCAAGCCAGCCACTGAAGCAAATTGTCCTAATGGCCAAACAGTGGTACTACACTTCCGTGCTAATCCGTGACGTAATGTTGACCCAAAAGTACCTTTTCTTGTTGATTTACATTGGGAAGAAACGTCTGTAAATCAGCGTATTTTTGTTGTAGCTAAATAAACTACCCAGTCAGAACACTTTTAAGGCTGTCATTTAAATCATTCGTTTTTTAAAAGTTGTAAAATGCACTAAAAGCTGAAACCAGAGTTATTTTCCCTCTCCATCCATTTAACTAATTAAAGAGAGGGAGATCGGAGGAAGGCTTCAGGAGAATTTAGGTGCACATGCTCTAAAGCCCCGGACACACCAAGCCGATTTTGGCCGTCGATGGATGTCAGGCCGACGATGAGCGTCCTGTCGCCCTACTCAGATTGGTGTGTCCCGCACCGTCGTGTCTTTTCGGCCGTGCCAACACCTTTTTGGCCGATTGCCAACCGATTCGACATGTCGAATCTGTCGGTCAAATAAATCACTCTGATTGGCTGTTCAGCTAGCGAATCAGTGCATGAGAAGTAAAATGGAAGTGAGGGACCCAAACAAACTATTAAGGCAAATCTGAGATTTCATTTAACTCCAGCTCTCGACACAGGTTCGGGAAAGCCCCATGAGCTTCTCGCTGTAGAGTGAAAATGGAACGCACATGCTTTTTGTTGTTTGTTTATATCACGCAGTCTGTTCTTCTTCTCTCGGTGTATAACGCAGTCTGTCTTCCGGTTGTTGCCTCTTTTGATTGACGAATACACACTACCGCCGCCTGCTGGTAAGGAGAGTTATTGCCACTCACGCATGCGCAGTTCGTACGTGCTACTTGGCCGTCGGCTGAAGTCTTTGCGGTGTGTTCCAGTGCGACTGTTGGCCAAGACGCAGGAGACGTAACAGTCGGGGTCCGTCTGTGTCAGTTCTTTGGTTTCAGCTTGGTGTGTCCCTACCTTTAGGGAAAAAAGTTCCAGATGATCCGGGTACTTTTTAAAAATACAGTCGCTCCATTTTGGGTTTCATGCGCCACTGAGCAACTCTTATAGGAATTAATGGTATCGCCTCCCACGCTGTATCCAATTCTCTTTATGTTATACATCCATGGTCTATGCCAACCTGATAGGATAACTAACCTGTTTAATCCTTATATTATAATTGTTCTTTAACATGGTTCTGGTATACCAACAGTCCTTTATGTCATGCTAAACTGAGCTTTAACTGGAATTGAGTCTTAAACACACACAAACAGACGGAGAGAGAACACATGACTTGATACATAGCCAGATTGTTAAAGATATAAAACCATGCAGGATTTTATCTCAATTTAATGTATTGATTCCTTCATTAATTTGAATGAAAACATTTATGGAAGAAATTAGTTACATCAAATGCAGATGAGCAACAGTACAAAGGACACTTAAAAAAGCCAGTGTTGATTTAGTGCAAAAAGGTGACCTTTATGTAACATTTGTGGATTTTTCTTTTCCAGTCACTCAGCAAAACCCTTAGTTTGACTGAAGGCTCTGAGCCCACACATAGGCTGCATGAGTTCAAAGTCTTTCAACCAAAGAATGATTAGGTTCGCTTGACATTTGACATGAACATGAACACATCTGGTCCTATTTTAAATGGAACAGGAGAAGCGAGTGTTGATCGTAATTATGATATCTCTGTGTAGTATTTATACAGTTGTCTCCTTAGTGAAGATAGGACGTTCAGTCATGCAGAAACGGGAATATAAAAACAATCATCAGCATTTCCCTCAATCCTCACCCCATGTGTCGCCAGGAGGTTTTCCAAACTAAACAAGAGGGAAAACATGAGGTCAAACAACACGCTGTAAGCATAACTAGCACCTGAGGTTTTTCCCTGATAAGGTCATAAGGTTAAGAAGACCACCTTCCAAACAAACAACATGACAGTGTGGGGGAAACTTCTGTTGCAATGGAGAGTCAGGACTCAGAGAGACACGAGGAGAGTTGGAGCTTTGATGTGAAACACTGATGGTTTATTTGGAGTTTCGGCCAGAGAGTTGACAAGACAGGTGGTGTGTCACGAGTTGACACAGCCGTTGCCAAATCAATTCTGAAGAACCCTTTCTGTAGCTCGAGGTTTTAACTAGTTCAGAGTGTAATAATCAACATTCTTCATCAGTGAGACTAAACATTATGGACCCTGAATCTAACTAGAGCTCTCGTCCATAGAAAAGAATGCGCGCCAGGGAACCGTCGTCCCTGAACAGTAAACTACCTCATGGCGGCTTGTGCTCTGTCATAGACTGGCAACAACAATGCGCCCAAGCTGCTCCCCCTTAAAAGAGATAGCAGCAATACCCAAGGCCGTAGACATATGCCATGGGAAAAGAGACAGTGAGAGGAGAAAATGATGAACTTTGTCGAAGGTTGAATACCTAGGCAAATTATTCCTTAACAGACAGCATATGATTTCCACAGGATGAGTCCCTGACATGATCGTTGCCAAAGGACACAACGTTGAATGTGGGGTTGTGTGATCCATAATCCGAAAGAAAAGTTTAACAAGTTTGTTCTTGAGTCTCCTTCCGCTCCTCCTTTTTCTCTCTGAAAACAAATATGAAAGAAGAGTCACTGAAACAGCTTTTACAACTTTGCAATTCAAAAGGAAACACACCACGATTTTTTATTTGGGTATTTCCAAGCTAGTTATCCTCACCTTTCGACAAATATTTTGGGGAAATAGCCCTCCAGACTGCATGCCCTGCTGCTCCATGGGAGTAGAATAAGTGACGTAATGGCGAGCACTTGTTGAATCAAAACTGACCGCAGGAAAAATGTATGGTGACCTTGCATCAGGGCAGGGATCATTTTCAACGCGGTTCTCAATAAAAGCGCTTTATTACTCGTATTAATAGTGACATACATGTAGAGCGGACTGAGAACTGCCATTGTATTTAAACAAATAATGCGTTAGTTGGTTTGTTTAATCACTATTAGTCTAGCAGGAAGGGCCCTCAGATTTTGAGATACCCCTACCCGAGGTAGAACAATTGACAACAATGTTTTTTCTTATCTTTAGGGTCTCCCATTCATTAAATTGATTGTTGTCAAATTTTATTTTGGGGGAAACAATGTTTTTTTGGTTGTTCTTTAGAACTACCCCAATCCCTGAAAAAGAGCCAAATTAGACCAGGTTGAATGGGAAAGGTGACAAAAAAGCCCATAACTTGAGAATGACCACTCTTTTCCTCTTAAGATTTTCTGAGGTATGAACCAGGTGGCTTTCCTACATCACCAAATAGTCAGACAATTATTTTAACTAAAAAAATACTGAATTATAGTCCTGTAAACTTAGCTTTAGTTTAAACGGAAATTGTACTTTTGGTGATAGGAAAATAGGACTCCATCACTTTTCTCTCATTTATCAGAAAAACAGAAATCCCTAAAAAAGATATACCATTACTGAATTGTCTAGGGTGCTATTGAACACTAACCAGTAGTTGTATGGAAATATCTGATACAGTTCTATTGCAAATGAGATTTATTTAGACATAAGCCTACCTCTTCTCTGAGACAGTCACATTCTGAATGGGGGATAAGTGGCACAATAGCCTATAAGTTAAGAATGCTCACTCTGATGGTCATTATATTTGGAGAGGGAAATACCAGGTGGCTGAACTACATCACCAAATAGTCAGAATAAGAGTAACCCAATACAATAAAGTGTATTAGTTCTAAATTGCAAGCCTATATCTATAGACCACCCAAATACTGTGCAAGCTTTTTTGATGACTTTACTGAACTGCTGTCTATAGTGTGTATTGACTTTGACCGTCTAGTCATTGTTGGTGATTTTAACATCCATGTTGACAACCCCCAGGACAGAGGGGCTAAAGAACTGTTTTGTGTTCTTGATAGCTATGGACTGACTCAGCATGTGACGGAGCCCACGCACAATAAGGGGCACACTCTGGACTTAATTATCTCAAAGGGTCTGAATATCTCTAAGGTTGTGGTGACTGATGTTGCACTCTCTGACCATTCCTGTGTTTTCTTTGAGAGCTCTATTTCTGTTCACAAAAATGTTCAAAAAGAGGTAACCACAAAGCGATGTTTAACTGAAAATACTAGGGAAATGTTTACTCAGAATTTCTCTTCCACACTTGCCCCTGCCAACATCTCAGTAAATGAGCTAGTAGATCATTTTAATTCAAAAATTAAAAATGTTATAGATGCCATTGCTCCAACTAAGGTAAAGGAAGTGTCTGGCAAGAAAATATCTCCATGGAGAAAGGCCATGACCGTGAAAACAGAAAAAAGAGAATGTCGAAAAGCTGAACGCAGGTGGCGAAAAACAAATCTCCAGGTTCACTTTGAAATCTATAAAGAGAGACTTGGCCTTTATAATTTGGAATTGAAAAACGCACGACAATCGTTCTTCTCTGACATCATTACCAAAAACAAAAACAACACACGTGCCTTGTTTGCTACCGTCGACAGACTAACTAACCCCCCAGTGTCAGTAGCCTCTGAATTTCTATCCACCAGGGCGTGCAATGATTTTGCCTCCTTTTTCACTGACAAAATTCAGAAAATCAGACAAGCAGTCAGTGCCTCTGCATCAGGAACAGCAAATGTGTTGTCCCTATCTCCACTTAACATCAATTCAGACATCATGACACAATTCCATCAGATTAATGATAAAAACCTAGAGGACATTATTCAACTTCTGAAATCCTCCTCTTGCTGCCTTGATATTATTCCAACAGGATTTTTCAAAGATGTTTTTCCTTGCATGGCCTCAGATCTTCATATAGTAAACAAATCTCTTCACTCAGGTATTTTTCCACAGACCCTGAAAACTGCAGTCATTAAACCGCTCTTAAAAAAGAATAATCTAGATGCTTCAGTAATGAACAATTACAGGCCCATATCAAACCTCCCATTTCTAGGTAAAATCATTGAAAAAGTTGTTTTTCAACAGTTGAGTAATTTCTTGCATTTAAATAACTGTTTTGATGTGTTCCAGTCAGGCTTTCGTCCAAACCACAGCACTGAGACTGCTCGTGTAAAGGTCTTCAATGACATCCACTTAAACACAGACAGTGGCAGAACTTCAGTGTTAGTATTATTAGATCTCAGTGCTGCGTTTGACACTGTTGACCACAGCATATTACTAGACCGACTGGAGAACTGGGTGGGACTTTCGGAAACAGTTCTGAATTGGTTTGAATCCTACTTAAAGGACAGAAACAACTTTGTTTCTATAGGTAAATACACATCTGAGTTGACAAATATGACATGTGGGGTTCCTCAAGGCTCCATCTTGGGGCCTCTTCTCTTTAACATCTACATGCTACCACTGGCTCAGATAATGAAGAACAACAAAATAAGTTACCATAGCTATGCAGATGACACACAAATGTACGTAACAATTTCACCAGGAGACTATGCTCCAATTCAAACACTGAGTAAGTGCATTGAACAAATCAATGACTGGATGTGTCAGAACTTTCTCCAATTAAACAAAGATAAAACTGAGGTAATGGTTTTTGGAGCCAAGTCAGAACGTATAAAAGTTAGCGCTGAGCTTCAGTCTGCAATGTTCAAAACAACAGATAGAGCCAGAAATCTAGGTGTAGTCATGGACTCTGACCTGAGTTTCAACAGTCACATTAAAACTGTTACTAAATCAGCCTACTATCACCTAAAGAATATATCTAGGATTAAAAGACTAATGTCACAGCAGGATTTGGAAAAACTTGTCCATGCCTTTATCTTCAGTAGACTCGACTACTGCAATGGTGTCTTCACAGGTCTCACTAAAAAATCTATTAGGAAGCTGCAGCTAATTCAGAACGCTGCTGCTCGAGTCCTCACTAACACTAAGAAAGTGGATCACATCACTCCAGTTCTGAAGTCTTTACACTGGCTTCCTGTGTGTCAAAGAATAGATTTCAAAATACTGCTGCTGGTTTATAAAGCACTGAATGGTTTAGGCCCAAAATACATTTCTGACCTCCTGCTAAATTATGAACCATCCAGATCTCTCAGGTCTTCAGGGACTGGTCAGCTTTCTGTCCCCAGAGTCAGAACTAAACATGGTAAAGCAGCGTTCAGTTATTATGCTCCAAATATCTGGAACAAACTCCCAGAAACCTGCAGGTCCGCTGCAACTCTTACTACTTTTAAATCCAGGCTGAAGACTTTTCTTTTTGTCGCTGCTTTTAATTGAACTATTCATATCTTAGACTGCACTGTAACTTTTATCCATGTACTTTTTCTTTTAATGTTTAATTGCACTGTAACTTTTATCCATGTATTTTTTCTTTTAATGTTTATTTTATTAGCTTTTCTTTTTAATGACTGATTTTAAATGCCATTTTCTTAATCTCTTTCATTTTTTGTAAAGCACTTTGAATTGCCTTGTGTTGGAAAGTGCTATATAAATAAACTTGCCTTGCCTTGCCTTGCCTCTAAAACATAGGTGTAAATAGTACAGGTCTTATTGAAACTTTAACCTTAATTCAAAGTACAGTATACAATTCATCAAATAATTCTGTGAGAGGTCAAGTATATAGATAGTAGAATATAATGTTAATTGTCAGGTTCCTCACAAACGTTAGGGGACACATTTTGACATTCTGCACAGCAGGTGCAGAACTCCGTGCAGGGAAGGCCAACAGAGAGGCACTGGCACTTTCCACTCTCTCCACACTTTGCAATACAAGTGAGTAATGTCTCTCAGTTCTGTAGGTGCTGGGGGTTTTGTAAATAGCACTGGTTGAATGGCCCCATCTCTGACAGTCCACCCCTTGCCCACAGGACTCCATAACAAGGGTTTGGGTTCGGGCTGTGACACCATCGCTGTCTGAAACATTGCTCTTTACATGTTGTTGAAATGCATCCTCTGTTGGCGGCAGATTTTCCGAGGCTGCATCTGTTGTTGATGCAATTATGAACCTCAGTTCATCCAAGTTTGTGCACATCAGTCCAATTTCCTTTTTTCCATATAGCAGAAGCACAAATTATCTTGCGACTGGCAAAGACTCTTCCAAGCTGGCAGAGAGTCCAAAATGGGCCAGATCTTTGAACTCGCTGAGATGGGTCTTGAGTTTGGTGAATGCTGTTGTCTTTCCTATTCTGTACAAACTACTTGTTGTGCCACAGCCAGTGAGTGCATGACATGCTGGTAGACAGTTAGACATGTGGTTTCCGCCCAGCTTCAGGACCATCTCCAACTAAACGGCCTCTTTGAGAAATTCCAGTCCGGTTTCCGTTCCGTCCACAGCACTGAAACAGCTCTGGTCAGGGTCACAAACGACCTGCTGATGGCGGCTGAACCTGGTTCCCCATCTCTCCTCATGCTCCTGGATTTGACTGCAGCATTCGACACTGTCAGCAATAACATCCTCCTTCAGCGCCTCAAACACACCATCGGACTCTCTGACTCCGCCCTGAGCTGCTTTCAGTCCTGTCTGGAAGAACAGAGTACGTCTCCTTGGGAGGTGCGAGGTCCCAGACACACCCTGTCACCTGTGGTGTCCCTCAAGGGTCGGTCCTCGGGCCCACTCTGTTCACCCTGTACACTCTTCCCCTTGGCC